CACCCCAGACAAGTGATTATATTCGTTTAGCAATTTTGGGGACAGTTCCACCACCAAATCCTCAACATCAATATTTAGGCTATACCCTATTTAGATGAGGGAAGTGGAGCTAGGCCCCTATATGGCAGGTAATCGAAGAAAGAAAACAAGTGGGCGGCCAGTACGATGCAGAACACTTTAGTAAACTATTTACAGGTCATATTTACAAAGCATACATATAAGTCGCAGGGCCTCGTTTCCCAGAGCCTTCGTAGCCTTAAGATCATTTATATGCGATACAGCTCTCTTTCTCCCTCTCTCTCACACACACACACACACACCACAGACCGTTTGGCGTCGCCAACTACAGCAGCGTTCGGGTACTACTGTAAAGAAATACAGTAAGTTAGAGTAATTTTTACAGGGGGCTTACAATTACAGTTAATAACTGTATTTTTCAGCATTTTACCCATAATCCAGTGCAATCTACAGCATTAATGCTGTAAAATAAATGTAAGGTATTTTACTGTGCATTCTACAGTGTTTTACTGTTGAAAATTACAGAAAAGCCTTACAGTGTAGAACCTTTTTGTCTTTAGAAGCCGAGTCGTTTCCCAGAGCCTTCGTAAGTAAAGTGGCTCTTAAAAACGCTCTTCAAAACATTTGCAGGTCTACAAGTGATCCAGACCACTCATAGAGCAACCAAAGTGCATGGTTAGATGTTTTTTTGCCCTTCCGCGTCAATTCATTTACAGAAGATATCCGCTAAACATGGAATCAAGATGTTTAGCCTATCTGTCTGATTGTGACTGCCAGTGACGTCAGAACGAAGTTGACTACAAAAACAGATACAATTTAAGTATCTGCAATTGTTTCAAACAAGTGAAGGATAAAATGATGCTTCAAATGAAAACCGAGATGACTGCATTAAAAGATACATAGGCTACATGGGCCTCTATAGGTTGTTGAAATCATATTGAAATCAATTCAACCAATTGAGTTATATTTTGCCACTAGGCTACGGTCTGTAATTTTTGTCTCAATGTGTTTCATGATGTGTGACAACATGTGCGCAATGATGTGCTCAATCTGTGATTTAGTGCATTATTATTGCGTAAAGCATAATAAGCCGCCTCAATAGCCTATTTGCAGCCATAGTCAAAGTGATTGCCTACACAGCCTTGGTCTATATGTACTCAAGTCTGTGATTTGGTCAAATAAGCAGTCAAATCCTATTAATTGAAAATCATAAATGAGCTCTTGATCATTGTCGATTGATAATTAATAAACCTGATCTTTACTAAAGCAACAATATGTTAATAACATTGTTGTTGGTGTAATGTCGAGAACTATGCTGAGATGCTGTGAGAACAAGAAATCCGCTGACACTGTCCTCGATTATAATTATTTATTACATTGAAGATCTCAGCGCCAATTTACAGACTTCTGCAGACATCTGGAGAACAACGGCCCAATCTCTTAATATGTTGTTCTCCCCTCCTTTGTCCCAAACCATAGTATATATATCCCATGTAACCTGATATGGGTGTTTTCCCCTACAGACCAATCCCAGGACTCCACATAACAGACTTCCTCTGTTTTAGGGTGCCCCTATAGAAATGCTCTCCAGATGCTTCCTCAAGCTGAGTCAACATCCTCTAAGACACCATTTGCAAACGTCAGCAAAATTGTAAATTGTCTAGATACTACATTGGTTTTATAGGCCGCTACCACATACACTCTAAAAAGTTTCTGGAGGATCCTTTGGGGGTTCTTCAAACTGAAACTATGGGGGAAATCCTACAAGTTCTTCAAATAACCCCTTTCAATGGATCCTCAAAGAACCCTTTGAATAACTTTTTGGGATTAATTTTTGAACTACTCCCCCCTCCCCTATTATGAATAATAATAATAATAATAATAATAATAATATTTAATAATAATAATAATAATAATAACCATAACAATAACAACAATAACACAATATTTTAGTTGTCAGTTTTATTATGATTTTAGCAGCAAAGCAGAATAAAAAAATTCAAATATAAGGTAAACTCCCAGTAGAGCCCCAAGTCCAATGGGTATATCCTCTGGCATGTTGATGTTAATGTTTTATGCAGACGACAGTATTCATACCTTAGTTTTAGGGTTAAAGTGAATGAATTAAACTTTTTTGTAAGGGGTTTTCATAAACATCCTTGCCCCCTAATTTGGGGGTTTAGGGGATTTTCATTGAAGGGGAAAAGGGAAAGGGAGGATGGTACATGGATCGCAAATATATAGCCCCTTTTGGTGGCCTCCCAAGGGTTTGGGGTAAGGGGAAGGAAAAAAATTTGGCCCCCGGCGGGCCCAAAACGGCCCCGTTTTTTGTTTGAACCGCTTTCCCCCCGATTTCCCAAAAAACCCGGGGGCCTTTTTTAGAAAACAAAAAGGGAAAAAGGGGCTTTAAAAAACTTTAACTGGGTTTAAAGGGTTTTAAATGGGCCTCATTTTTCTTCTAAATTACCTAAAAAAATGGGTTTTAAAATTAAAAATTTAACCCAAAAACCAAAAAAACCCTTAAAAACTTTTCCCCCTTTTTGGTTTAGTTCCTCCCCTTTTGGGCAGACCCAAAATTCAAACCCACCCAATCCTATTAATTATAGCAACCAAAATTTTTCCCCCTCTTTTTAAAAGATTCCCTTGAATTTTTCCCAAATTTTTGTTTTTTAAAAAGTTTTCAAAATTGAAATTGTTTTTCCCCTCAATCAATTTCCCCCCAACAAAACCCTTTTAAATTGAAAACAATTTTTTAAAAAATTGAAGGTTCCTTTTAATTTCAAATAAAATTTTAAACCATTTTTTGCAAAACCCCCAAAAAGGGGTTCCCCGGTTCCCACCCCCAGGGGTTTTCCCAAGCCCCTTTCCGGGAATTTTCTCCAATAAAAAATTTCCCAAAAAACCTTTGGGAAATTCTTAAAAGGCCCCTTTTGGGAAACCCCACATTTGGTTTTTTATAATTTTTCCCACAGGGAAAAATGCACCCGGGGAGAAAAAAAACCCAAGAGGTCGGAAAAAATTTTCCGGAAGATTCAAACCCCCTTGTTTTTCCACAGTTTTTTTTAAAGGGCCCCCCCCCATTCCCCCAAAGTTTAAAAGGTTTTTTTTTCCCCCAAAAACAAAAAATCCCCATTTTTAAATTTGGAAAATTTTTTTAAAAAAAAAGGAAAATTTTTTTCCTAACTTTTCCGCCCCCAATAAGGGCCAAAATTGGGGGCCTTGCAAAAATTTAAAAGAACCAAAATTTTTCCCCTTTTGAAGGGGGCCCCAAAGGTTTCCTTGTTGAATGGGAAAAAAGGGAACCCTTCCAAAGGGACCCCATTGCAGGCACGCCAAAAAAAAGAGCAAAAGAAAAGGGCCGAGGAAGCCCACTCCTAACCCGGGAAATTGGCACCCAAAACTTTTAAAAAAAGGGCCCCAAAAATTTTCTAAGCCTTTAAAGGAAAAAAGGGGATCTCTTTTTTAAAAATTTTGGAAACCAAGATTTTAATTTCCTGGCCAAATGGGAAAAGGGTGGGGGCCTTGGAAAAAAAGGGGGCCACCATCCCCCCTTAAACAGGTTTAGTTTCCTTCTTTTGGGGAAAATTTTTTAAAAGGGCAAATTTTGAGGACTAGTCAGGATCGAGGGAAAGATGAACGGAGCAAAGTAAAGAGAGATCCTTGATGAAAACCTGCTCCAGAGCGCAACAGGACCTCAGATGGGGACGAAGGTTCCACCTTCCAACAGGACAAACGACCCTAAGCACACAGCCAAGAAACGTAGGAGTGGTTTCGGGACAAGTCTTTGATGTCCTTGAGTGGCCCAGCCAGAGCTCGGAGTTGAACCCGATCGAACATCTCTGGAGAGACCTGAAAAGTGGCCCTATCCAAACTGACAGAGCTTGAGAGGATATACAGAGAAGAATGGGAGAAAACTCCCTAAAACAGGTGTACCTAGCTTGTAGCGTCATACTCAAGAAGTCTTAGGCTTTAATCGCTGCCTAAGGTGCTTCAACAAATTACTGAATATTTATGTAAATGTGATATTTCCGGGGGGGTTTTAAAATAAATTTGCAAACATTTCTAAAAACCTGTTTTTGCTTTGTCATTATGGGGTATTGTATGTAGATTGATGAGGGGGGAAAAGACAATTTAATTTAATCCATTTTAAAATAAGACTGTAACATAACAAAATGTGGAAAAAGTCAAGGGGTCTGTATACCTTCCAAATGCACTGTAAATCACAAAACAATGTGAGCAGGGGCTTCATGCCCGCCAAATATCTGAGGGGGCACAAAGTAAGTGAGGATGGCTGGGGGGTGGTCCCTAAATTTGAGGATTTTGCATTTTTCAAACACCTGAAACAGATGTTTCCTGCTTAATTCTATGCAAAACATATGTCAATTTTTCTGCATATCTAAACATACATCTTGAGCTGTCTGTATCCTCCTGTTCTTTTTTAAAGAAATGAAATATTATTCTCTGCATCTCTGCTAAAATCAGGGTAAAAGATTGAAAGGAATGTTATTCTTATTCAGTACATGTAGTTATTGCTTGCTTTTCTAAAGTCTACCAACCTTGCCAGCAGGCATGCCAGCTAAGATAGTTAGACAAGCATGCTTCTCTAACTTGATTGATAGCCTGAAATGACTTATTGGTAGATAATGAGTTTGGGAGATTGGGAACCCGTCTGAGCTAGCTAAAGCCAACTTCATACAATTGCTAAGTGGCTAGTAGTATTACAGAGAAAAAAATATTATTATTCTTATCATTATTTATTTTTTTAAGAGGACAAATCTGAGGGGCCCCCTATGGGTATGACCCCTCTGAATGTGAGACAACGAAAATGACAAACAAACACCTCGGTATGAGTTTCAATTAGGTTTATTGTCAGTGTCAATTACAGAAGGACATTACATTTGAGAAACATGGATGAACGTCTAATTCTGACGTGAGACTGAGAGCTTGTAGCTCGGATGACAGTTTAACAGCTGAACTCCCGTTTAGCGGTACTTCTCGGCCAGGGCCAGAGCCAGTTGCTGCAGGAACTTGTCCGCGGACAAATGGATCTCGGGGGTGAATTCGGCGGGGAAGTAGGCGGCAACGACCACAATCAGGTTGTGAGCCAGGATCTGCAAATGAAAAGGGAATAGATTATTTCACCTTCACACAGGTAAAAACTCAGATTTTTTGTGTGTGTTCTTTCCAGTCTTATTCTCTTACCTTGAAGTTGGTGGGGTCCACCCTCAGCTTGGTGGCGTGCAGTTCACTGAGCTTGGACAAGAAACCAAAGAGATTGTCCATGTTGTTAACACATTCATCGATCTGATTCATGATGGTGATGCCGTGCTTCTTCACTGGAGCGGAACCGGGGGCCACGGAAGCCCAGTGGGAGAAGTAAGCCTTGGTCTGGGGGTAGACGACGAGCATCCTGTCGTGGACATTAGAAATCAGGTGAGCCAAAATTCATCTTAAATAATAATTCACACGGTCGGGGATCCCGTCCATATTTTTGCTGAGATAGGCTACGCATTCATAGCTTCCATAGAATTGACTGAGGAGTTATGTGTTAATAATTTGAATAAACATGTCCTTGTATAATTTATCATACATCGTTATGTAATTACCTGGAAAGAGCCTGTTCTCCAATCTCATCGGATTTAGGGAGGATCTTGCCCCAGATGGCCTTCACGTTGGCTTTGTCCTTGGCTGAGAGACTCATAGCTGTCTTGTCCGTTTATCCACTTAAATGAGGATGCTAAGAAAAGAAGCGTGTGAGGGTATACTTCTCAGAGGCTGTTTTTATTGAGGCATGAGAGAAGGCACACCCCGATATAATCTCCGCTCCTCCTCTGATTGGGCATTTTTCCAAGACATGATTCATGTTTTTCTATACTTTATGGAACTGAGCCAATTCGTGTAGTGCCCAAAATATGACATTTGCACATAATAATTTCGTTTTTAAAAATACTGTCATAACATTGCATGTATTTATTTCATATAGATTGAATAACAAAGTGTTTCTGAAACACTTAATACCTCAAAATTTTCTTTACAATTAAGGTTTAATCGTAAGGTCCAATATTGCAGCACTCACTGGTGAGTATAGGCTATGTGATTCTGTACAAAAGACAGTGTTGGGGAGTCGTGGACTGCAGCTTGGTAGTTAACTACTTTTTTTTGTCATGTAGCAGCTAACTACTGGAACTACACACTGCTTTTTTTGCAAAATAAAATAAAATATGGATGAAGTAGGCAATCATTTCCTTTTTTTGGCATTATACCTTCCTAATTCTGACTTGAAACATCGTTTTTGTGTTAATAGGCTAAAATACACACTGTCAACATATTACCCCAAAGTGATCTGACTTGCAATTTTTACTCAATAGCATTTCAGATTTACATATGATCATTTTTCACGAAGTAGTTTGGATAGTGAGCTACTTTGCCAAAGTAACTTTCTATTTTTCTTAAGGGTAGCTTTATTGTAGCTTAATTTCTTCCAGTGTGAAGTAATTGCTAGCTTGGTAAACGATATTTTCAGAGTAGTTTCCCCAACACTGACAAATATTTGCAACATGATCGGATTGGCAACTAGCAATCAAATGAAGAAGTGTCCAATTTGGCCTATATAGTCAATATTCACAGTTAACACATAAATACTGAGACAAATTATAGGCCTGATAATCGGAAAGGTTTTGTTCTGGTTGCAAAGCGTAGCCTGGGCCTATCACAAATCGTTGTAACAATATATAGGCTACGTGCATTGTATTTCAGAGGAATTAAACAAAAAGCTGTAGTTTCATTTAATTAAATAGGCTAATATCCTAATTGAATAGTGTCCAGTTAGAACTTATCATGTAATTCCCCTGATGAAGGCCTATAAAAACGACTTTTCCCCATCTGACATTTCGATGAATCATTTAAAAAAAACTGAAATATGCAACCATCAAATGGGTGGGGCCGTCTGAATATGAAGATAAAACACATTTTGAGTCATGCTCTTTCTTTAATAGTTTACTGTCACGGTTTCGGCCGAGGCTGCCTCTCTCCCTTGTTCGGGCTGGCTTCGGCGTTCGTCGTCTCCGGAATTCTAGCTGCCACCGATTTATGTTTTCATGTTCGTTTGCTTTTGTCTGTTTGTATCACACCTGTTTCTGTTTTACGTAATTAGTATCCTATAAGTTTCTCGTTGTGTTTGTCTTGTGTTGTGTGTGATTGTTTTCGTCAGTGTTGTGTTTGCTCGGTTGAGCATATTTCTCTCCACTGCGCTGGAGCTCGTTTGCACTTGTTTCGTGCACTACATATTTTGTCGCACCTGTTTTGTGCGCATTTTGCCTACACGCCTTTGGCGTAGTTTAGCTGTTGGGCTTTGTTGCCCTGTTGCCTGTGTTTGGGTCGGAATACAGCTTTTGGAACCTACCGTCTGCGTCCTGCATCTGATTTCCTACACCACACCTACACACGCCCTGACAGAATCACACACCACTCATGGAATCAGCAGGAGCAGAAGCAGCCCAGACAAGACTGGAAGCCCAGGTTCGGGATCAGCAGGAGCAACTCCTGCAGATGGGGAACGCCCTGCAGGAGGTTATTTCCACACTCCGAGGCTGGGGTTCGCCTCCACCACCGCCCGCCCAGCCAGCACCATCGGTCAGCCCGCCCGTTCCAGCACCAGAACATCGAGGAGTCCGTCTATCTCTCCCGAGGGCTTACGACGGGACAGCGGCTGGGTGTCAGGGGTTCTTGCTCCAGGTCGAGCTGTACCTGGCCACAGTCCATCCGGCACCTTCAGGGCATGAGAGCGTGTCCGCCCTAATCTCCTGCCTGGCCGGTAAAGCGTTGGAGTGGGCCAACGCAGAGTGGAGGAAGATCGACGCCACGACCATCACCTACACCGAGTTCTCCCGCCGCTTTAGGGCGGTGTTCGACCATTCCCCGGAGGGGAAAGCGGCGGGGGAGCGTCTGGTCTTCCTTAGGCAGGGGAGGAGGAGTGCCCAGGAATTCGCACTCGAATTCCGTACTCTAGCGGCAGATGCAGGGTGGAATGATCGGGCCCTCATCGATCTCTACCGATGTAGCCTCAGAGAGGACGTCCGTCGGGAGCTGGCCTGTCGGGACGCCAGTCTCACTTTCGACCAGCTGGTCGACATGTCAATTAGGTTGGATAACCTATTGGCTACCCGCGGACGTCCTGAGGGGGGTCCGTCCATTCCATCCTCCAGCGCACCCGAGCCGTGTCCTATGGAGCTCGGGGGCGCTGGCGCTAGAGGTAGGAGGAGTCGGCAGAGTGGGGGGTCCATCCACTGCACCAACTGTGGTCGGGGAGGACACACCGCGGCTAGGTGCTGGGGATGGCCTCCTCGGGGCGATGACGACAGGTCCCGCACTGGGGATTCCCTCCAGGTGAGTAGGCGCCCCACTCACCCAGAGCTCACTGTTGCCCATTTTTGTATGCCTGTGTGTTTTCCGCAGGTGGCACCTCATTCCCAGTGTAAGGCGCTGGTAGATTCAGGCGCGGCTGGGAATTTCATTGATAAGAAGTTTTGTTTAGAGTTAGGGTTTCCCCTTCTCCCTGTGGAAGTTCCTTTTCCCGTTCACGCCCTAGATAGTCGTCCGTTGGGTACGGGCTTAATCAGGGAGGTCACGGCGCCACTTAGGATGTGTGCGCAGGGGAGTCATCAGGAGATAATACAACTGTTTCTGATTGACTCTCCTGCGTATCCGGTGGTGCTGGGCATGCCCTGGTTAAGTACCCATAACCCCGTTATTTCGTGGCAGGAGAGGGCTCTGAAGGAGTGGTCTGCTCAGTGTGTGGGTAGATGTTTGGGCGTTTCCTTAGGGGCTACCTCGGTGGAAAGTCCAAACCAGGTGCCCGCATTGCACATTCCACCTGAGTATGGGGATCTGGCTATCGCGTTTAGTAAGGCGAGGGCGACGCGATTGCCACCCCATAGGCAGGGGGATTGTGCGATAGACCTTCAGGCAGGAGCTGCGCTCCCACGGAGTCATGTGTATCCTCTGTCTCAGGAGGAGAAGAAAGCTATGGAGGTTTACATAGACGAATCACTGAGACAAGGATACATACGGCCGTCCACTTCCCCCGCGTCCTCGAGTTTCTTTTTCGTGAAGAAGAAGGATGGGGGGTTGCGTCCGTGCATCGACTACCGTGGTCTCAATCAGATTACGGTGAAGTATAGTTATCCACTCCCGCTGATTGCGACCATGACTGAGTCGTTGCATGGGGCGCGTTTCTTCACGAAATTAGATCTCAGGAGCGCGTACAACTTGGTGCGCATCAGGAAGGATGATGAATGGAAAACAGCCTTTAGTACCACCTCGGGCCATTACGAGTATCTCGTCATGCCATACGGGTTGATGAATGCTCCGTCAGTGTTCCAATCATTCGTGGATGAGATCTTCAGGGACATGCAGGGACAGGGAGTGGTGGTGTACATAGATGACATCCTCGTGTACTCACCTACCCGTGTCGAGCATGTGGCCCTGGTGCGCAGAGTGTTGCGGAGGCTGGTGGAGCACGACCTGTATGTGAAGGCAGAGAAGTGTCTGTTTTTCCAGGAGTCGATTTCCTTCTTGGGGTATCAGTTGTCTGCGTCAGGGGTGGAGATGGAGGTAGACCGAGTGTCAGCCGTGAGTAATTGGCAAACACCAACCACTGTGAAAGAGGTGCAGCAGTTTTTGGGGTTTGCGAATTACTACCGGAGGTTTATCCGGGGTTTTGGGCAGGTGGCAGCTCCCATCACGTCTCTCTTAAAGGGGGGCCCGGTGCGTCTGCAGTGGTCAGTCGAGGCGGACAGGGCTTTTAAGAAGCTGAAGGACCTGTTCACCTCGGCTCCGGTGCTGGCGCATCCGGATCCCTCCTTACCATTTCAGGTAGAGGTGGACGCGTCTGAAGCCGGTATTGGCGCCGTGCTGTCCCAACGGTCAGGCGCGCCACCTAAACTCCGCCCCGTTGCCTTCTATTCCAAGAAGCTCAGCCCGGCGGAGCGAAATTATGACGTAGGGGACAGGGAGCTGTTAGCTGTGGTCCAAGCCCTTAAGGTGTGGAGGCACTGGCTTGAGGGGGCTCAACACCCTTTCCTCATTTTGACGGACCACCGTAACCTGGAGTACATCCGGGCAGCGAGGAGGCTGAACCCTCGACAGGCTAGATGGAGTATGTTTTTGACCCGTTTCTCTTTTAAGATCACCTACATCCCTGGGTCACAAAACGGTAAGGCAGATGCACTGTCTCGGCGGTATGACGGGGAGGAGAGGTCCGTGGAGCCCACTCCCATACTGCCGGAGTCGTGTCTAGTGGCACCGGTGGTGTGGGAGCTCGATTCTGAGCTCGAGCGGGCATTACGCACCGACCCTAGTCCACCACAATGCCCGGAGGGTCGGAAGTATGTTCCGCTCGAGTGTCGGGATCGATTGATCTATTGGGCTCACACGTCACCCTCCTCTGGACATCCGGGTATCGGCCGGACAGTGCACTGTCTTAGTGCCAAATATTGGTGGCCTACGTTGGCCAGGGATGTGAGGGTTTATGTTTCCTCCTGCTCGGTGTGCGCCCAGTGTAAGGCGCCTAGACATCTGCCTAGGGGTAAGTTACTACCCCTGCCCGTTCCACAACGACCATGGTCCCACCTCTCGGTGGATTTTATAACTGACCTTCCCCTCTCTCAAGGGAATACTACACTCCTGGTCGTTGTGGATCGGTTCTCTAAGGCCTGTCGTTTGCTCCCCATGCCGGGTCTTCCTACTGCCCTACAAACCGCCGAAGCACTATTCACTCATGTGTTCCGGCACTACGGGGTGCCCGAGGACATTGTGGCTGACCGGGGTCCCCAATTCACCTCCAGAGTCTGGAGAGCTTTTATGGAGCGGTTGGGGGTCTCGGTGAGTCTCACCTCGGGTTACCACCCGGAGAGTAATGGGCAGGTGGAACGCGTAAACCAGGATGTGGGCAGGTTTCTCAGAACATACTGCCGGGACCGGCCGGAGGAGTGGGCGAGATATGTGCCCTGGGCTGAGATGGCACAGAACTCTCTTCGCCACTCCTCCACCCAACTAACCCCTTTTCAGTGTGTTTTAGGGTACCAGCCGGTTCTGGCACCATGGCATGAGAGCCAGATCGAGGCCCCCGCTGTGGATGAGTGGGTGCGGCGCTCGGAGGAGACGTGGAACGCTGCACACGTCCATCTGCAGCGTGCCATACGTCGACAGAAGACGAGCGCCGACCTACACCGCAGTGAGGGGCCTGTGTACGCACCTGGAGATCGAGTCTGGCTCTCTGCCAGAAACCTGCCCCTCCGCCTGCCCTGTCGGAAACTGGGTCGGCGGTTTGTAGGGCCATTTAAAGTCCTGAGAAGGTTGAACGAGGTTTGTTATAGATTACAGTTGCCAGTGGAGTATAAATGTATTAACCCCTCGTTCCATGTGTCCCTTCTCAGGCCGGTGGTAGCAGGCCCGCTCCAAGAACATGAGATCTTGGAGACCCCCCCGCCCCCGTTGGACATCGAGGGGGCACCGGCGTACACCGTGAGATCCATCTTGGATTCTAGACGTCGGAGAGGGGGTCTTCAGTATCTAGTGGAGTGGGAGGGGTACGGTCCGGAGGAGCGGTGCTGGGTGCCGAGGAGAGACATCTTGGACCCGTCGCTCCTGACGGAATTCCATCGGGGGTATCCGACGCGCCCTGCGCCGCGGCCTCCGGGTCGTCCCCAAGGCCGGAGTCGGCGCGCGTCTGGAGCCGCGCGTCAAGGGGGGGGTACTGTCACGGTTTCGGCCGAGGCTGCCTCTCTCCCTTGTTCGGGCTGGCTTCGGCGTTCGTCGTCTCCGGAATTCTAGCTGCCACCGATTTATGTTTTCATGTTCGTTTGCTTTTGTCTGTTTGTATCACACCTGTTTCTGTTTTACGTAATTAGTATCCTATAAGTTTCTCGTTGTGTTTGTCTTGTGTTGTGTGTGATTGTTTTCGTCAGTGTTGTGTTTGCTCGGTTGAGCATATTTCTCTCCACTGCGCTGGAGCTCGTTTGCACTTGTTTCGTGCACTACATATTTTGTCGCACCTGTTTTGTGCGCATTTTGCCTACACGCCTTTGGCGTAGTTTAGCTGTTGGGCTTTGTTGCCCTGTTGCCTGTGTTTGGGTCGGAATACAGCTTTTGGAACCTACCGTCTGCGTCCTGCATCTGATTTCCTACACCACACCTACACACGCCCTGACATTTACTCCCAATTTAGTTATTTTTTATTAATTTTTTATGAGACCCTACATAAACACTTCCATCAATAATTAGCATTTTATAAAGATAATATTGCAATTCAATGTGAATATTACAACAATATATTAAAAGAGAATTTAGGGCTAAATAAGGTTATATCCTGAGATAATTGGCATTAAAGTTCCGAACCCTCATTGGTTTGAATGGTGTCATACATTTATTATCTTGTATTCTTTTGAACTTAACTATATTAATTGGGGTATTAAGTACTATGTGCAGTATGTAGAGAACATTGAACAGAACAAGGCTACGTCAATAACTCAATAACTTTTGACAAAAATGCCGATAGAATCTTATAGTCCCAAAGCTCTCAATGTGTTTATGAAGGCTAATCATGACTTGTTTATTTCATCCGTAATCATTTGAATTTGGCAACGCCTAAATGACCAAGCAAATTCTTTAAAGGTGGGATGAAGTTGGCACAATGCCGATTTGTGCCTCACCGGAGGACCTTGCCCCCTCAAGACATTCATCCAATCATTTTCTGTGTTTTGTTCAGGGCGGAGATGCTGAACATCAATAAATTGGACGTCCCCGGAGACAAAAAGCTCAGGGATCCCTTGGAACATTTTGCAAGTACCAACGGAAATCAACAAACAACGTCAATATGGTCGACTGGACAGATGCTGAGCGCAGTGCCATCTTAGGCCTGTGGGGAAAGATCAGCGTGGATGAGATCGGACCCCAGGCCCTGGCCAGGTACATTCTTGTAATATTTATGTGGATATCATTAAAAAATAACACGATAATAGGCTACCTAGGCTATTTAGCACTAATCGCGGTGTTCACCTTTGGTGCGATACAGACCGTGTTGATTGTGAAGTATAATTGTAATTGCAGCCTGTTTTATTTCTTTTTAGACTTCTGATCGTGTGTCCATGGACTCAGAGGCACTTCAGCACCTTCGGCAACCTGTCCACACCCGCTGCCATCATGGGTAACCCCGCCGTGGCCAAGCACGGTAGGACCGTGATGCACGGACTGGACAGAGCTGTGCAGAACCTGGATGACATCAAAAACACCTATACTGCACTGAGTGTGATGCACTCGGAGAAACTGCACGTGGATCCCGACAACTTCAGGGTGAGTATTAAACTTTAGCAAACTAAAACAAAATACAAAAATAAATAGTATTTTTCATTAAATAGCGTTATAAGCCGATGTAAAGCTTATTCCAATATTTCATTTTCCATGTGGTTGTTGTACGGTCCCCTCTCCACAGCTCCTCGCCGACTGCATCACCGTGTGCGTGGCCGCCAAGCTCGGTCCCGCCGGTTTCACTGCTGATACTCAGGAAGCCTTCCAGAAGTTCCTGGCTGTAGTTGTGTCCGCTCTCGGCAGACAGTACCACTAGAGCATCACTCGACAGCATCAATATGGAAGAGAGATGACACTCCAACTCCAGTCTGTTAGGCTGTAAGCTGTGCCATAGCTACACATATTGAAATAATAAAATCGTTTATGTTTTTGAAGTATTGTTTTTTGATGGAAAACTCTCTCCTACAATTTTACATGGTTTCTAGTTATGAGGTCGTTGGGTGGTCTACATTTTAGTCATTTAGCAGACGCTCTTATCCAGAGCGACTTACAGTTAGTGAATACATATATTTTTTATTATACTGGCCCCCCGTGGGAATCGAACCCACAACCCTGGCGTTGCAAACGCCATTCTCTATCAACTGAGCTACATCCCTGCCGGCCATTCCCTCCCCTACCCTGGACGACTTGTGCGCCGCCCATGAGTCTCCCGGTCGCGGCCGGCTGCGACAGAGCCTGGATTCGAACCAGGATCTCTAGTGGCACAGCCTTAGACCACTGCGCCACTCAGGAGTACTTACAGATGGGCTGTGTACAGGTGCAGTGATCGGTAAGCTGCTCTGACAACTGATGCTTAAAGTTAGTGAGGGAGATAAGAGTCTCCAGCTTCAGAGATTTTTTCAGTTCGATCCAGTCATTAGCAGCAGAGAACTGGAAGGAGTGGCGACCAAAGGAGGTGTTGGCTTTGGCGATGACCAGTGAGATATACCTGCTGGAGCGCATACTACGGGTTGGGTGTTGCTATGGTGACCAGTGAGCTAAGATAAGGTGGGGATTTGCCTAGCAGTGATTTATGGATGATCTAGAGCCAGTGGGTTTGGATTGGATCAGCTGCACAGCTGATGCCTGCTAGACTGTTCCTTTACACGGTACCCTGTCCTGTTTATTCTGTTTAGCCTTAGCCCAAACGTTATCGCTATTTCCAGTTGTTGTCTTAGCTCTCTCTAATAACACCTGTGACTGCTTTATGCCTCTCTCCCATGTCAATTATGCCTTGCCTATTGCTGTTTGGGTTAGTTCTTATTATACAATTTCACTGTAGAACCCCTAGTCCCTCTCAAACTGCCTCAAATAGTTCCTTTGTTCCACCCCCCATACACGCCGAGACCGGCTCAATCGGTGCCTCCAGTGACGCTATCTCTTTCATTGTTACCCAACGCTTAGGGTTACCTGAACTGTACTCATATCCTTCCATATCCTTTTCTGTACATAATGCCCTGAATCTTTTCTACAACGCCCGGAGAACTGCCCCCTTTATTCTATGTACCCAACGCACTAGAAGACCAGTTCTTAAAGCCTTTAGTCGTATCGTTATTCTAGTCCTCCTCTGTTCCTCTGGTGATATAGAGGCTAACCCAGGCCCTGCAGCCCCCAGTATCACTCCTACTCCCCAGGAGCTATCATTTGTTGACTTCTGTAACCGTAAAAGTCTTGGTTTTCTGCACGTAAATATCAGAAGCCTCCTTCCTAAATTTGAGTTATTCACTGCGTTAGCACACTCCGCCAACCCTGATGTTCTAGCAGTGTCTGAATCCTGGCTTAGGAAGGCCACCAAAAATTTTGAAATTTCCATCCCCAACTATAACATTTTCCGTCTAGATAGAACTGCCAAAGGGGGTGGAGTTGCAATCTACTGTAAGATAGCCTGCAGAGCTCTATCATACTATCCAGGTCTGTGCCCAAACAGTTTGAGCTTCTACTTCTAAAAATCCACCTTTCCAGAAATAAATCTCTCACTGTTGCCGCTTGCTACAGACCCCCCTCAGCCCCCAGCTGTGCCCTGGACTCCATATGTGAATTGATTGCCCCCCATCTATCCTCAGAGTTCGTACTGCTTGGTGACCTAAATTGGGATATGCTTAACACCCCGGCCGTCCTACAATCTAAACTAGATGCCCTCAATCTCACACAAATTATCAACGAACCTACCAGGTACAACCCTAAATCCGTAAACATGGGTACCCTCATAGATATCATCCTGACTAACTTACCCTCTAAATACACCTCCGCTGTCTTCAACCAGGATCTCAGCGATCACTGCCTTATTGCCTGCGTCCGTAACGGGTCCGCGGTCAAACGACCACCCCTCATCACTGTCAAACGCTCCCAAAAACACTTCAGCGAGCAGGCCTTCCTAATTGACCTGGCCCAGGTATCCTGGATGGATATAGATCTCATTCCGTCAGTAGAGGATGCCTGGTTGTTCTTTAAAAGTAATTTCCTCTCAATCTTAAATAAACATGCCCCATTCAAAAAATACAGAACTAAGAACAGATATAGCCCCTGGTTCTCCTCAGACTTGACTGCCCTTGACCAGCACAAAAACATCCTGTGGCGTACTGCATTAGCATCAAATAGCCCCCGCGATATGCAACTTTTCAGGGAAGTTAGGAACCAATATACACAAGCAGTTAGGAAAGTAAAGGCTAACTTTTTCAAACAGAAATTTGCATCCTGTAGCACTAACTCCAAAAAGTTTTGGGACACTGTAAAGTCCATGGAAAATAAGAGCACTTCCTCCCAGCTGCCCACTGCACTGAGGCTAGGAAACACTATCACCACCGATAAATCTACAATAATCGAGAATTTCAACAAGCATTTTGCTACGGCTGGCCATGCTTTCCACCTGGCTACCACTACCCCGGCCACCAGCTCTGCACCCTCCGCTGCAATTTGCCCATGCCCCCCCCGCTTCTCCTTCACACAAATCCAGACAGCTGATGTTCTGAAAGAGCTGCAACATCTGGACCCCTACAAATCATCTGGGCTAGACAATCTGGACCCTTTCTTTCTAAAACTAGCCGCCGAAAATTGTCGCAACCCCTATTACTAGCCTGTTCAATCTCTCTTTCGTAACGTCTGAGATCCCCAGAGATTGGAAAGCTGCCGCGGTCATCCCCCTCTTCAAAGGGGGTGACACTCTAGATCCAAACTGTTACAGACCCATATCCATCCTGCCCTGCCTTTCAAAAGTTTTTGAAAGTCAACAAACAGATCACCGACCATTTCGAATCCCACCGTACCTTCTCCGCTATGCAATCCGGTTTCCGAGCTGGTCATGGGTCCACTTCAGCCACGCTCAAGGTCCTAAACGATATTATAACCGCGATCGATAATAGACAGTACTGTGCAGCCGTTTTCATTGACCTGGCCAAGGCTTTCGACTCTGTCAACCACCGCATTCTTATTGGCAGACTAAATAGCCTTGGTTTCTCAAATGACTGCCTCGCCTGGTTCACCAACTACTTCTCAGATAGAGTTCAATGTGTCAAATCGGAGGGCCTGTTGTCTGGACCTATGGCAGTCTCTATGGGGGTGCCACAGGGTTCAATTCTTGGGCCGACTCTTTTCTCTGTGTATATCAATGACGTCGCTCTTGCTGCTGGTGACTCTCAGATCCACCTCTACGCAGAAGACACCGTTTTGTATACATCTGGCCCTTCATTGGACACTGTGTTAACAAACCTCCAAACGAGCTTCAATGCCATACAACACTCCTTCAGTAGCCTCCAACTGCTCTTAAACACTAGTAAAACTAAATGCATGCTCTTCAACCGAACGCTGCTTGCACCCGCCCACCCGACTAGAATCACTACTCTCGACGGGTCTGACCTAGAGTATGTGGACAACTACAAATATCTAGGTGTCTGGTTAGACTGTAAACTCTCCTTCCAGACTCACATTAAGATTCTCCAATCCAAAGTTAAATCTAGAATCGGTTTCCTATTTCGCAACAAAGCCTCCTTCACTCATGCTGCCAAACATGCCCTCGTAAAACTGACTATCATACCGATCCTTGACTTCGGCGATGTCATTTACAAAATAGCCTCCAACACTCTACTCAGCAAATTGGATGTAGTCTATCACAGTGCCATCCGTTTTGTCTACAAAGCCCCATATACTACCCACCACCAGGGGCGGTGTGTTCATTAGGGCGATATGGGCGACGCACTGCCAAACGGGAAAAGGAAGGGATTTTTTTTCTAATCAATTATATCACGGAAACAGTCGTTTTCAGTGTTCTAATCTAGACGTCTGATCTGCCACTAAATGTCCAATCAGGCTAAAGTCGTGCTTCAAATGGCCCCGCCCGTTTTGGGGCGATTTCAGTCAGGTTGAAAATCGCCCCAGAAGTCTCTCAGACTCTCATGTAAAATCTTTTTTTTTTCAAATATCAGAGCTTTCAATACAATCTCTATGGGTTCCGGGAGGGCTTGCACTTACGCGCTTTCGTCATACGTAACATAACCATGAACATAACTAAGAAAAGAGTGGGTAGCAGCGTCAATCAATTCACGTACTACTGTCAAGATGGCTATCGTTCAGTGCAACTCGATTGTCTCTTTGAAAGAAGTTCATTTTTGTCGGCGAACAAATCAAGATAAATTGGCAACGAAACAATTAGGACCTCCCAGACCAAATTTAATAATTCAACAGGTTTCTACTAAAGGGGGAAAGTCCTACACCCGAGGATTTTCCAAAAATTGGTACGAACGAAAAACCTGGCTAGCAGGCTGCGATGTAGCTAATGCAGTCTTCTGCCACCCCTGCTTACTCTTTCACCCTGAAGGCGGCACGGCAGACAGCACCGCTTGGACAGCGACTGGTGTAACGGACATGCACCATCTTTCAGAAAAGATTAAGAAACATGAGCTGTCAAAGACCCACATGGATAGCTGTTTGAGATTGTCTGCTTTGGGGAGAGTGAACATTGCCACTCAACTGGATGAGGGATACAGGCTAGCTGTCCGCCGCCACAACGATGAGGTTAGCAAGAACCGCCACATCCTCAGCCGGCTAATCCAGTGTGTGAAGTTTTGCGGAGTGTTTGAGTTAGCTTTGCGAGGCAAAGATGAAACTGAGGGCTCCACCAACCCTGGTATTTTTCTTGGACTTGTCAACTTTGTGGCACAATTAGATGAGGTGTTTGATGACCATCTTAAAAATGCTGAAGTTTTCAAGGGCACATCAAAGACCATTCAAAACGAGCTACTGGAGTGTATGCTAGCGGTCATGAGGGAACATATTATGGAGGAGGTGAAGTCGGCGAACTTCGTAGCTATCCAAGCTGACGAGACCACGGACGTTTCTACACAGACACAGCTGGTGCTTGTGCTGAGGTACATAGATAGCAAGAAGATTTTATTTTTTTCCTGGGGCTTTTTCACAAAATCATGCCCCACGTCGACATTCTGTACCAGAAGCTACAGAAGAAGGACATCGATGCTGTCTTCATCAAACTTGCCCTCGACAGCTTCACAAGCAGTGTGCAGGCCATAAGGTAAGATTAAACAATATCATTCAATCTTTCTCAAAGCAGAGCTTTATTTGAAAATGTATGCATGAAAGGAGACATCATCATATTTACAAATCTATACAATTGGCCAGAATATGGTTGTTCATTTTTACAAAGCCATACAGATAGCTGTGTTTACCTTTTCTAGAAATTATTTTCAAATTCTGTTTTCAGGCAAAATGTCTATCACTGTTCATTTTCACAAATCTATACAAGAGGGCAGAATATGGAAGTCTATAAAAATGTCTTATTACCAATAACTTGCATCAATGTTTTCAGTAGCCTCTATCAAAAGCTCCTGCTTGCTTGTTGTGAATTATGCTCAGGTGCACATATTTCCAATTCAACCATGAGGCCTTTTTGAAGCAAGTAATGTGTATATCAGTATTGACTTATATGCTGCCCCTGTCTTCATGTTGTTGCTGGACATATCTTTTTTTAAATGTGTGTAGGTCACCTAAATCATCAGAAAAATTGCCCCCCCTGAGATTTTTTTCAGGAGCCGCCACTGCCCACCACTGTGACCTGTACGCTCTTGTTGGCTGGTCCTCACTACATATTCGTCGCCAAACCCACTGGCTCCAGGTCATCTATAAATCACTTCTAGGCAAATCCCCGCCTTATCTTAGCTCATTGGTCACCATAGCAACACCCACCCGTAGTCTGCGCTCCAGCAGGTATATCTCACTGGTCATCCCCAAAGCCAACACCTCCTTTGGCCACCATTCCTTCCAGTTCTCTGCTGCCAATGACTGGAACAAATTGCAAAAATCTCTGAAGCTGGAGACACTTATCTCCCTCACTAACTTTAAGCATCAGTTGTCAGAGCACCTTACCGATCACTGCACCTGTACACAGCCCATCTGAAATTAGCCCGCCCAACTACCTCATCCCTATATTGTTATTTATTTTGCTCATTTGTACCCCAGTATCTCTATTTGCACATCATCTCTTACACATATATCATTCCAGTGTTAATACTAATTGTAATTATTTTGCACTATAGCCTATTTATTGCCTTACCTCCATAACTTGCTACATTTGCACACACTGTATATATGTATTTCTGTCGTGTTTTTTACTTTGTTTTGTTTTACCCCATATGTAACTCTGTGTTGTTGTTTTTATCGCACTGCTTTGCTTTATCTTGGCCAGGTCGCAGTTGTACATGAGAACTTGTTCTCAACTGGTTTACCTGGTTAAATAAAGGTGAAATAAATAAATAAAAAATAAAATTGGAGATGCTTAATGTGAGTCTGGAAGGAGAGTTTACGGTCTAACCAGACACCTAGGTATTTGTAGTTGTCCACAAATTCTAAGTCAGACCCGCCGAGAGTAGTGATTTTAGTCGGGCGGGTGGGTGCAAGCAGCGTTCATTCTATATAGCCCATTCAGTTTACCAACCCCTATCGGGAACAACTCCACATTCATCAAATATTAAATGAGGTCAGCAAAATTCTAGTTACACGTATTAGATAGGCTATCCAAAGTTATGGAGAACAACATACTGAGCTAGTCCATGGTGGGCCTAAAGCACTATTTAATACTTTATTCCCTCCTTTCTTCATTTAATGTATTCAATCTAGATGTGGTAGTGATGAAATTCAAATATGACTTTGTGATGGTGAACTGTGGTGGAATAAGGACACAAACAGAGTACATAACTTAATTAATTGCCTGTTTATTTTATTGTGATAACAACAGACCAGGAACTGAAGTCCAATTTTGGACTTTCAAGACGGTCTTATCTGTATTTGTCAGCCAGGGAAGCGGACAAGGCTGCAAGGAATTTATCCACAGCAATGTTCACTTCGGGAGTGAAATCCGCAGGGAAATGAACAGCCTGGGTCACAAGGATGTTGTGGGACAGAATCTAAAAAGTATATTTTAAAAGTTTATATTGAAGGACTAAGCCATAGCAACAGACTTAGAGTTGATGTGGGCGGCAGGTAGTTTAGTGGGTAAGAGCGTTGTGCCAGTAACCGAAAGGTCGCTGGTTCTAATCCCTGAGCCGACTAGGTGAAAAAATCTGTCGATGTGCCCTTAAGCAAGGCACTAAACCCTAATTGCTCCTGTAAGTCGCTCTGGATAAGAGCGTCTGCTAAATGACGTAAATGTAATGTCGAGAGTGATCAATATAGAGACAATAGGTTATCTGGGAGTGAACCTTGAAGTTTCCAGGGTCAACACGTAGCTTGAAACCGTGCAGATCGCTAAGAGCACTCAGTCCGCCGACGAGGTTGTCCATCTTTCCGACAGCATTACCAATTGCACCTGTGATGATGCTTCTTGACTGGGGCAGAGCCGGGGCTCAGGTCAGCCCAGTGGGAGAAGTAGGTCTTAGTCTGTGGGTAAGCAGTCAGCATCCTGCAAAGGAAGGTACAGAATAGTTTGTACCATAGGCGTTTTTATCCGATTTTCAACTTCTAAGCATTACGCGTATCACATTTCTCCCATCGTCTGTGTCTACAATGTAATCAATGTAGTTTACTTATTGTATGTTAAAATGCTTCGTACGGGTAGGCACATAGGCTGCTGTCAGCAGGTTAAACACAATAATTCTCAGAATTCTTTCTTTAAGAAATTATTATTATTATTTTATTATTATTTATTTTTTTCGTTGCATAAAACGAAATGTTTCAGAGTAGCCTAAACAAGCATATATTTCCAATAAATTAATTCAAAAGATGCAGCTGATTTTGCCAAATATTTCATTGATAGTTCATTGGCTATTTGAAATGGCATAGGCTTAGATTATGACGCAAATGTCGTTCTATCCTACATAATGTTAAATAATTAAAGGTAGGCTATATATTTGATTTGTAGAGTTCTATAATATATATTACATCTGTAAATTCAATTGTAGAAATCAAATCCACCTTCAAAGACCTGCATTAAATTGGAAAATATTTATTCATGGTGACGTATTTCACATTTGTATGTATCTATGATATACCTATTCTGGTGTTCAATTTAAGTTGGATATGATTCCCAATTAAAAGGTTGATTGGACTTCGAATGATGATCGAAAGAAAAGTCAGAGAGGTCATGAGAGGACATGGGTACACACCTATCCGCAAATAATACTGGACATTCCTGCTTATCACATTTAATGTCTTGAAATTAATAACTTAAAATGTGCAGGACCGGTCTGAATAACCCGATTTAAAAAAGGAAGGCATAATTTTGTCAGAGATAAGAAACTGTGCCAATTTAAAGGCCGGAATTGGTTGGAATTATCAAATTGCATCTCTTTCTATTTTTTCCTTTGAATAGCCTTATACACATTAATGAAGGAAATATGATATTCGGAAGAGTTTTGCCGTAACCTTGCTTTTATTCTTGCATTAGTTAGATCAATTAAAACTGTTTAGCTGTGATCATGCGAATTTTGAAACGTTGGTAACTAGATAAAACTGTACAGGCCTATTTACATATGATTTCAGATTTTAGGATCTAACCTACAGACTTGATAATGTAACACCAATAAATTAACGTTTATTGTCCTTTTTATCAGATAAATGATTGGAATTTATGTAATCATGTTCGAGAGCTGAAGCGCTCACTTGGCCAATACTTATCTTTGCCAGAGCCAATCACATGCGCCGCCTCCAGTGGGCGGAGCGCACTCATAAATATTAGTGGCATGCAAAGCGTCTCCCTACACAATACATTAATTTGTTTTATCTTGTTGCAAAACCGAAGAACAAACACTGACAACATGGTTGACTGGACAGATGCAGAGAAGAGCACCATCCTGCAGCAATCATGGGCAACCCCAAAGTTGCTGCTCACGGCAAGGTCGTGTGTGGAGCTCTGGATAAAGCTGTGAAGAACATGGGCAACATCTTGGCCACATACAAGTCACTGAGCGAGACCCACGCTAACAAACTCTTCGTTGACCCTTACAATTTCATGGTATGCCTTCTGTCTTGATATACTTATTTTTTTGGCTATACTGAGGTAGGCCTACACGTATAACATTTAGAACAATACGTCTAATTCCAAAGGTAAAACAAAAACGGCAGTCTTATTTAACGTCTTCCTTCTTTGTTTTTTGTCCACAGGTGTTGGCTGACGTCCTCACAATTGCCATTGCCGCCAAGTTCGGAGCAGCTTTCACTCCTGAAATCCAGGCAACCTGGCAGAAGTTCATGAAAGTGGTTGTCGCAGCCATGGGCAGTCGGTATTTCTAAATGCACCCCAGACAAGTGATTATATTCGTTTAGCAATTTTGGGGACAGTTCCACCACCAAATCCTCAACATCAATATTTAGGCTATACCCTATTTAGATGAGGGAAGTGGAGCTAGGCCCCTATATGGCAGGTAATCGAAGAAAGAAAACAAGTGTGCGGCTAGTACGATGCAGAACACAATAGTAAACTATTTACAGGTCATATTTACAAAGCATACATATAAGTTGCAGGGCCTCGTTTCCCAGAGCCTTCGTAGCCTTAAGATCATTGCTATGCGATACAGCTCTCTTTCTCCCTCTCTCTCACACACACACACACACACCACAGACCGTTTGGCGTCGCCAACTACAGCAGCGTTCGGGTACTACTGTAAAGAAATACAGTAAGTTAGAGTAATTTTTACAGGGGGCTTACAATTACAGTTAATACCTGTATTTTTCAGCATTTTACCCATAATCCAGTGCAATCTACAGCATTAATGCTGTAAAATAAATGTAAGGTATTTTACTGTGCATTCTACAGTGTTTTACTGTTGAAAATTACAGAAAAGCCTTACAGTGTAGAACCTTTTTGTCTTTAGTAGCCGAGTCGTTTCCCAGAGCCTTCGTAAGTAACGTGGCTCTTAAAAACGCTCTTCAAAACATTTGCAGGTCTACAAGTGATCCAGACCACTCATAGAGCAACCAAAGTGCATGGTTAGATGTTTTTTTGCCCTTCCGCGTCAATTCATTTACAGAAGATATCCGCTAAACATGGAATCAAGATGTTTAGCCTATCTGTCTGATTGTGACTGCCGGTAACGTCAGAACGAAGTTGACTACAAAAACAGATACAATTGAAGTATCTGCAATTGTTACAAACAAGTGAGGGATAAAAGTATGCTTCAAATGAAAAACGAGGTGACTGTATTAATATGTAGCCTACATACATGGGCATATAAAGGCTATTTCAATCATATTGAAATTAATTTCATATTCAACCAATTGAGTTATATTTTGCCACTAGGCTACGGTCTGTACTTTTTGCCTCAATGTGTTTCATGATGTGTGACAACATGTGCGCAATGATGTGCTCAATCTGTGATTTAGTGCATTATTATTGCGTAAAGTATAATAAGCCGCCTCAATAGCCTATTTGCAGCCATAGTCAAAGTGATTGCCTACACAGCCTTGGTCTATATGTACTCAAGTCTGTGATTTGGTCAAATAAGCAGTCAAATCCTATTAATTGAAAATCATAAATGAGCTCTTGATCATTGTCGATTGATAATTAATAAACCTGATCTTTACTAAAGCAACAATATGTTAATAACATTGTTGTTGGTGTAGTGTCGAGAACTATGCTGAGATGCTGTGAGAACAAGAAATCCGCTGACACTGTCCTCGATTATAATTATTTATTACATTGAAGATCTCAGCGCCAATTTACAGACTTCTGCAGACATCTGGAGAACAACGGCCCAATCTCTTAATATGTTGTTCTCCCCTCCTTTGTCCCAAACCATAGTATATATATCCTATGTAACCTGATATGGGTGTTTTCCCCTACAGACCAATCCCAGGACTCCACATAACAGACTTCCTCTGTTTTAGGGTGTCCCTATAGAAATGCTCTCCAGATGCTTCCTCAAGCTGAGTCAACATCCTCTAAGACACCATTTGCAAACGTCAGCAAAATTGTAAATTGTCTAGAATAGGGGTGTCAAACTCATTTTAGCTCAGGGGCCACATGGAGGAAAATCTATTCCCAAGTGGGCCGGACCGGTAAAATCATGGTATATATAACTTAAAAACAACAACTTCAGATTGTTTTCTTTGTTTTAATACTATCAACATAAAACATAAAGCTGGAGCCTGAGGACAGTGTGTCCAAAATAGTACAAGCACAACATCACTATTAATCATAAAACACCTCAAGTTTATTTGAAAATTCTAAAGAAAAAGAACACACAAACACACAATGCCTCAGTGATTCACAGAACTGTTTCACAGATCACAGAACTATATCAGGGTGTCATTTCTCAGGCAGAAATGTTGATACAAATAATGAAATCCTGTTCCCCAAACAAGTGCAAGAACCACAGAGTCAAGAATATGTTAAATATACAAATAAAATAAAATCAATTAAAAACAATAGCACATCAACATAAAAACATATAAACATAAAGCTGGAGCCTGAGGACAGTGTGTCCAAAAGCACAACATCACTATTAATCATAAAACACCTCAAGTTATTTGAAATTCTGAGGACAAACAACACACAAACACACAATGCCTCAGTGATTCATAGAAGTATATCACAGATCACAGAACTATATCAGGGTGTCTCATGCAGCACTTTAAGTGGGGTTGCATAGTTTGACTCCTGATACCTGGCATCTTTTAGCTTTCACCAGCACATCAATATCAGGCGTCACATCCTGAGTGGCAGCCAACTTCAGGATGTGATTCAAGTGCTTGTGCGTGAGCCTTGAGCGCAGCTTTGTTTTATTTATGCTCATTACAGAGAACTTGCTCACAAAGATATGTGGTTCCAAACATGCACAACAGTTTTGCAGCGAGGGCTGTCAAGTTGGGGTAACCTGGCAAGAGATTCTGATAAAATGTGTCCAAGCCAGCTGCGGCAAATTTGCCCTTCAAATCCGAGTCACACTGCAAGTATATTATTTCAAGTTGGATGCTGACGGGCAGATCAGAGGGATTCACGGTTAATGGCGAACAAAAAACGTTGAAGTCTTTCTCCAGTTCACCAAAAATCTGAAAGCGTTGCTCAAACTCCCTTAACAGTCCCGTTATTTTATCTTTGAACCGCTTCATGTCTGCCACATGTTGGGTCGCGCACACATTTTTCAGACAGGGGAAGTGAGCTGCATCACCACCGGCGAGTTGCGTCTCCCACAATGACAGCTTCAACTTGAAAGAACGTATGCTGTCATAATACTGCGTGGCAACTTTGTTGCACCCTTGCAGCTGTTTGTTCAAGTTATTCAGGTGCTCTGTAACATCCACCATAAATGCAAGGTCCTGCATCCATTCTGCGGAATGAAATTCTAACACTGGTTTGCCCTTTTCTTCCATGAACTGTTCAATTTCTTCTCGTAAATCAAAGAAACGCCTCAGCACAGCACCTCGGCTTAACCATCTTACCTCAGTGTGGTATGGCAGGCCATAGATGTGGTCTTTCTCTCTGAGAAGGCTGTCAAACTGACGTTGATTCAGGCTTCTGGATCGGATGAAATTAACAGTTTGGATAATATAATAATAATAATATAATAATAATATAATATAATAATATAATAATATAATAAAAATAATAACCACCTTCATGACGTTATCCATCTTCAATGACTTGCAACACAAAGCCTCCTGGTGCAAAATACAGTGAAAAGTCCAAAAATCACATCCTCCATTTGCAGATTGCACGTTCTCTCTGAACTTTGTCACAACGCCTGCTTTTTTCCCGATCATTGAGGGCGCACCATCTGTAGCCAGGCTGACAGCGCGGGACCAGTCCACTCCGACCCTGTCCAGCGCGCTGACGAGTGCAGTGAAAATATCAGCTGCTGTCGTTGTGTCTGTCATAGTCACCAACTCCACGAACTCCTTGGTGACGGTCAATGTGTCATCAACTCTGCGGATGAAAATGGCCAGTTGTGCAACATCTGTAATGTCCGTGCTTTCATCAATTGCAACCGAAAACGCAATTAATTACTTTACTTTTTGCTTCAACTGGCTGTCCAAATCCACTGAAAGATCGGAAATCCTGTCTGCAACTGTGTTTCTTGTCAGGCTGATATTTGCAAAAGCCTGGTGCTTTTCAGGGCACACAATCTCTGCTGCCTTCATCATGCATGTTTTTACAAATTCACCCTCACTAAATGGTTTTGAAGCCACTGCGATTTCATTAGCAATGAGGTAGCTAGCTTTCACTGCAGCGTCACTGATGTCTCGGCTGTGAGTAAACACAGACTGCTGTTTCTTCAGACCCGCCAACAGTTCATTCACCTTCTCTCTTCTCCGCTGTCCTTGAAAGTTGTCTTATTTGTTGGCATGAAGACTCACATAGTGGCGACGAAGGTTATATTCTTTCAGCACTGCAACATGCTGTGAACACACCAAACATACAGCTTTCCCATTCAATTCCGTGAATAAATAGAAGGATGACAATTTTTCTTGGAACACTCTGCACTCTGCGTCCACTTTTCTCTTTTTTGACAGAGACATATTGGGGCAATGAGGGTGCCAAAGCACATAATGTTAAAAGTAGAAGCCGTAATAAATATCGCGGGCAAAACAAAGTAGCTCATCCGGACTGGCTGCACTTGCTTGACCTATTTGCTCTGCCCCGGTATAAACAGTTTGCTTGCTTAACACAATTGCCATTGCGCCATCCAGTGGACACAATTGGAACAGCAGTTTCTTTTATTGAAAAATTGCAGCTCATTTTTATACTTTACAAAATCATCTCGCGGGCCGGATTAAACCCGTTTGCGGGCCTGATCCGGCCCGCGGGCCGGACGTTTGACACCCCTGGTCTAGAAACTACATTGGTTTTATAGGCCGCTACCACATACACTCTAAAAAGTTTCTGGAGGATCCTTTAGGGGTTCTTCAAACTGAAACTATGGGGGAAATCCTACAAGTTCTTCAAATAACCCCTTTCAATGGATCCTCAAAGAACCCTTTGAATAACTTTTTGGGATTAATTTTTGAACTACTCCCCCCTCCCCTATTATGAATAATAATAATAATAATAATAATATTTAATAATAATAATAATAATAATAACCATAACAATAACAACAATAACACCATATTTTAGTTGTCATTTTTTAAATGATTTTAGCAGCAAAGCAGAATAAAAAAATTCAAATATAAGGTAAACTCCCAGTAGAGCCCCAAGTCCAATGGGTATATCCTCTGGCATGTTGATGTTAATGTTTTATGCAGACGACAGTATTCATACCTTAGTTTTCGTGGTAAATGTGAATGAAAAAAACTGTTTTGATAATGGTTTTCATACACATACCTTGTCCATAATGTTGAGGCCTATGGGATTTTCATTGAAGAGGTAAGGAAGGAGGATGGTACATGTGATACGCATAATATATAGCCCGTGGTGCTCAGTTGGTAGAGCATGGCGCTTGCAACGCCAGGTTTGTGGGTTCGATTCCCACGGGGGCCAGTATGAAAAACAAAAATGTATGCACTCACTAACTGTAAGTTAATGGATAAATGTTTCTGCTAAATTACTAAAATGTAAAATAACATACCAATACCAATTGACATACCTTTGTATGCCTCCTCACCTGCAGACACAAAAGTTCAGTAATCTGCACCCAATACAGCTAGCCTTCACCATCTTATAGCAGACAAATTCTTACCTCTTTGTTGATTGATATCCATTGAATTCTGTCCATTTTCTGTTTTAGAAAGATTTGCACAAATATGAAAAGATAGATGGTATCATCATAAAACATATCAATTTAGATCATACAAGGGACAACCCTTTCCTTAAATTGAGGAGATCTTTAAATGTTTCAGTTAAGTGCCTGCACCTACTGTCCTTTCAAATTCAAATCCAAATGTTTCAGCTGGGCAGTTAGGTTCCTGCAAGAACCCCACCACTAAGGAGGTTCCTCGGTTAACCCCACCTCCTATGGGGTTCTTGGAAGAACCCTTTGCGGGTAATTTTCAGTGCCAATAACCCTAAAGGTTCTTCAAAGAACTTTGAGGATCTTAGAAGAACCCTTGTTGAACCCCTACATTTTAGAGTGTAGTTCCATAAATGGTTTTGTGGGCAGTTACAGCAGGGAAATCAATCACGCTATCCTGAGTGTAGGCTATATGACAATCCAGAGTAATGTCTGGCCACAACATACAGTTAATTCGGAAAGTATTCAAACCCCTTGACTTTTTCCACATTTTGTTACTTTACAGCCTTATTCTAAAATGGATGAAATTGTTTTTTTCCCCCTCATCAATCTACACACAATACCCCATAATGACAAATTGAAAACAATTTTATTAAAAATTAAACGGAAATACCTTATTTACATAATCATTCAGACCCTTTGCAATAAGACTCAAAATTGAGCTCAGGTGCATCCTGTTTCCACTGATCATCCTTGAGATGTTTCTACAACTTGATTGGAGTCCACCTGTGGTAAATTCAATTGATTGGACATGATTTGGAAAGGCACACACCTGTCTATATAAGATCCCACAGTTGACAGTGCATGTCAGAGCAAAAACCAAGCCATGAGGTCGAAGGAATTGTCCGTAGAGCTCAGAGACAGCATTGTGTCGAGGCACAGATCTTGGGAAGGGTACCAAAACATTTCTGCAGCATTGAAGGTCCCCAAGAACACAGTGGCCTCCATCATTCTTAAATGGAAGAAGTTTGGAACCAGCAAGACTCTTCCTAGAGCTGGCCGCCCGGCCAAACTGAGCAATCGGGGGTGACGGGCCTTGGTCAGGGAGGTGACCAAGAACCTGATCGTCACTCTGACAGAGCTCCAGAGTTCCTCTGTGGAGATGGGAGAACCTTCCAGAAGGACAACCATCTCTGCAGCACTCCACCAATGATGTCTTTATGGTAGAGTGGCCAGACGGAAGCCACTCCTCAACAAAAGGCACATGACAGCCAGCTTGGAGTTGCAAAAAGGCACCTAAAGGACTCTCAGACCATGAGAAACAAGATTCTCTGGTCTGATGAAACCAAGATTGAACTCTTTGGCCTGAATGCAAAGCGTCACGTCTGAAGGAAACCTGGCACCATCCCTACGGTGAAGCATGGTGGTGGTAGCATCATGCTGTGGGGATGTTTTTCAGCGGCAGGGACTGGGAGACTAGTCAGGATCGAGGGAAAGATGAACGGAGCAAAGTACAGAGAGATCCTTGATGAAAACCTGCTCCAGAGCGCACAGGACCTCAGACTGGGGACGAAGGTTCACCTTCCAACAGGACAACGACCCTAAGCACACAGCCAAGACAACGCAGGAGTGGCTTCGGGACAAGTCTCTGAATGTCCTTGAGTGGCCCAGCCAGAGCTCGGAGTTGAACCCGATCGAACATCTCTGGAGAGACCTGAAAAGTGGCCTATCCAACCTGACAGAGCTTGAGAGGATATACAGAGAAGAATGGGAGAAACTCCCTAAATACAGGTGTACCTAGCTTGTAGCGTCATACTCAAGAAGTCTTTAGGCTTTAATCGCTGCCTAAGGTGCTTCAACAAATTACTGAATATTTATGTAAATGTGATATTTCCGGGGGGGTTTTAAAATAAATTTGCAAACATTTCTAAAAACCTGTTTTTGCTTTGTCATTATGGGGTATTGTATGTAGATTGATGAGGGGGGAAAAGACAATTTAATTTAATCCATTTTAAAATAAGACTGTAACATAACAAAATGTGGAAAAAGTCAAGGGGTCTGTATACCTTCCAAATGCACTGTAAATCACAAAACAATGTGAGCAGGGGCTTCATGCCCGCCAAATATCTGAGGGGGCACAAAGTAAGTGAGGATGGCTGGGGGGTGGTCCCTAAATTTGAGGATTTTGCATTTTTCAAACACCTGAAACAGATGTTTCCTGCTTAATTCTATGCAAAACATATGTCAATTTTTCTGCATATCTAAACATACATCTTGAGCTGTCTGTATCCTCCTGTTCTTTTTTAAAGAAATGAAATATTATTCTCTGCATCTCTGCTAAAATCTGGGTAAAAGATTGAAAGGAATGTTATTCTTATTCAGTACATGTAGTTATTGCTTGCTTTTCTAAAGTCTACCAACCTTGCCAGCAGGCATGCCAGCTAAGATAGTTAGACAAGCATGCTTCTCTAACTTGATTGATAGCCTGAAATGACTTATTGGTAGATAATGAGTTTGGGAGATTGGGAACCCGTCTGAGCTAGCTAAAGCCAACTTCATACAATTGCTAAGTGGCTAGTAGTATTACAGAGAAAAAAATATTATTATTCTTATCATTATTTTTTTTTTTAAGAGGACAAATCTGAGGGGCCCCCTATGGGTATGACCCCTCTGAATGTGAGACAACGAAAATGACAAACAAACACCTCGGTATGAGTTTCAATTAGGTTTATTGTCAGTGTCAATTACAGAAGGACATTACATTTGAGAAACATGGATGAACGTCTAATTCTGACGTGAGACTGAGAGCTTGTAGCTCGGATGACAGTTTAACAGCTGAACTCCCGTTTAGCGGTACTTCTCGGCCAGGGCCAGAGCCAGTTGCTGCAGGAACTTGTCCGCGGACAAATGGATCTCGGGGGTGAATTCGGCGGGGAAGTAGGCGGCAACGACCACAATCAGGTTATGAGCCAGGATCTGCAAATGAAAAGGGAATAGATTATTTCACCTTCACACAGGTAAAAACTCCGATTTTTTGTGTGTGTTCTTTCCAGTCTTATTCTCTTACCTTGAAGTTGGTGGGGTCCACCCTCAGCTTGGTGGCGTGCAGTTCACTGAGCTTGGACAAGAAACCAAAGAGATTGTCCATGTTGTTAACACATTCATCGATCTGATTCATGATGGTGATGCCGTGCTTCTTCACTGGAGCGGAACCGGGGGCCACGGAAGCCCAGTGGGAGAAGTAAGCCTTGGTCTGGGGGTAGACGACGAGCATCCTGTCGTGGACATTAGAAATCAGGTGAGCCAAAATTCATCTTAAATAATAATTCACACGGTCGGGGATCCCGTCCATATTTTTGCTGAGATAGGCTATGCATTCATAGCTTCCATAGAATTGACTGAGGAGTTATGTGTTAATAATTTGAATAAACATGTCCTTATATAATTTATCATACATCGTTATGTAATTACCTGGAAAGAGCCTGTTCTCCAATCTCATCGGATTTAGGGAGGATCTTGCCCCAGATGGCCTTCACGTTGGCTTTGTCCTTGGCTGAGAGACTCATAGCTGTCTTGTCCGTTTATCCACTTAAATGAGGATGCTAAGAAAAGAAGCGTGTGAGGGTATACTTCTCAGAGGCTGTTTTTATTGAGGCATGAGAGAAGGCACACCCCGATATAATCTCCGCTCCTCCTCTGATTGGGCATTTTTCCCAAGACATGATTCATGTTTTTTTATACTTTATGGAACTGAGCCAATTCGTGTAGTGCCCAAAATATGACATTTGCACATAATAATTTCGTTTTTAAAAATACTGTCATAACATTGCATGTATTTATTTCATATAGATTGAATAACAAAGTGTTTCTGAAACACTTAATACCTCAATATTTTCTTTACAATTAAGGTTTAGTCGTAAGGTCCAATATTGCAGCACTCACTGGTGAGTATAGGCTATGTGATTCTGTACAAAAGACAGTGTTGGGGAGTCGTGGACTGCATGTACTTCAACTAGTAATTAAAATACATTTTGCAGTAGCTTGGTAGTTAACTACTTTTTTTTGTCATGTAGCAGCTAACTACTGGAACTACACACTGCTTTTTTTGCAAAATAAAATAAAATATGGATGAAGTAGGCAATCATTTCCTTTTTTTGGCATACCTTCCTAATTCTGACTTGAAACATCGTTTTTGTGTTAATAGGCTAAAATACACACTGTCAACATATTACCCCAAAGTGATCTGACTTGCAATTTTTACTCAATGGCATTTCAGATTTACATATGATCATTTTTCACGAAGTAGTTTGGATAGTGAGCTACTTTGCCAAAGTAACTTTCTATTTTTCTTAAGGGTAGCTTTATTGTAGCTTAATTTCTTCCAGTGTGAAGTAATTGCTAGCTTGGTAAACGATATTTTCAGAGTAGTTTCCCCAACACTGACAAATATTTGCAACATGATCGGATTGGCAACTAGCAATCAAATGAAGAAGTGTCCAATTTGGCCTATATAGTCAATATTCACAGTTAACACATAAATACTGAGACAAATTATAGGCCTGATAATCGGAAAGGTTTTGTTCTGGTTGCAAAGCGTAGCCTGGGCCTATCACAAATCGTTGTAACAATATATAGGCTACGTGCATTGTATTTCAGAGGAATTAAACAAAAAGCTGTAGTTTCATTTAATTAAATAGGCTAATATCCTAATTGAATAGTGTCCAGTTAGAACTTATCATGTAATTCCCCTGATGAAGGCCTATAAAAACGACTTTTCCCCATCTGACATTTCGATGAATCATTTAAAAAAAACAGAAATATGCAACTATCAAATGGGTGGGGCCGTCTGAATATGAAGATAAAACACATTTTGAGTCATGCTCTTTCTTTAATAGTTTACTCCCAATTTAGTTATTTTTTATTTATTTTTTATGAGACCCTACATAAACACTTCCATCAATAATTAGCATTTTATAAAGATAATATTGCAATTCAATGTGAATATTACAACAATATATTAAAAGAGAATTTAGGGCTAAATAAGGTTCTATCCTGAGATAATTGGCATTAAAGTTCCGAACCCTCATTGGTTTGAATGGTGTCACCAATTTATTATCTTGTATTCTTTTGAACTTAACTATATGAATTGGGGTATTAAGTACTATGTGCAGTATGTAGAGAACATTGAACAGAACAAGGCTACGTCAATAACTCAATAACTTTTGACAAAAATGCCGATAGAATCTTATAGTCCCAAGCTCTCAATGTGTTTATGAAGGCTAATCATGACTTGTTTATTTCATCCGTAATCATTTGAATTTGGCAACGCCTAAATGACCAAGCAAATTCTTTAAAGGTGGGATGAAGTTGGCACAATGCCGATTTGTGCCTCACCGGAGGACCTTGCCCCCTCAAGACATTCATCCAATCATTTTCTGTGTTTTGTTCAGGGCGGAGATGCTGAACATCAATAAATTGGACGTCCCCGGAGACAAAAAGCTCAGGGATCCCTTGGAACATTTTGCAAGTACCAACGGAAATCAACAAACAACGTCAATATGGTCGACTGGACAGATGCTGAGCGCAGTGCCATCGTAGGCCTGTGGGGAAAGATCAGCGTGGATGAGATCGGACCCCAGGCCCTGGCCAGGTACATTCTTGTAATATTTATGTGGATATCATTAAATAATAACACTACCTAGGCTATTTAGCACTAATTGCGTAGTAGGAAATCGCGGTGTTCACCTTTGGTGCGATTGGGCGGCAGGTAGCTAAGTGGTTAAGAGCGTTGTGCCAGTAACCGAAAGGTCGCTGGTTCTAATCCCGAGCTGACTAGGTGAAAAATCTGACGATGTGCCCTTGAGCAAGGCACTAAACCCTAATTGGGTAAGTCACTCTGGATAAGAGCGTCTGCTTACAGTTAGTGAGTGCATACATTATTTTTTTATACCCCCCCCCATGGGAAACGAACCCACAACCCTGGCGTTGCAAACGCCATGCTCTACCAACTGAGCTACATCCCTGCCGGCCATTCCCTCCCCTACCCTGGACGAATTGTGCGCCGCCCCATGGGTCTCCCGGTCGGCTACGACAGAGCCTGTATTCGAACCAGGATCTCTAGTGTCACAGCTAGCACTGCGATGCAGTGCCTTATACCACTGCGCCACTCGGGAGAAATGTAAATGTAAATGTAAATGTAAATGTAAATGTAAATGTAAATTGTAATTACAGCCTGTTTTATTTCTTTTTAGACTTCTGATCGTGTGTCCATGGACTCAGAGGCACTTCAGCACCTTCGGCAACCTGTCCACACCCGCTGCCATCATGGGTAACCCCGCCGTGGCCAAGCACGGTAAGACCGTGATGCACGGACTGGACAGAGCTGTGAAGAACCTGGATGACATCAAAAACACCTATACTGCACTGAGTGTGATGCACTCGGAGAAACTGCACGTGGATCCCGACAACTTCAGGGTGAGTATTAAACTTTAGCAAACTAAAACAAAATACAAAAATAAATAGTATTTTTCATTAAATAGCGTTATGAGCCGATGTAAAGCTTATTCCAATATTTCATTCTCCATGTGGTTCTTGTACGGTCCCCTCTCCACAGCTCCTCGCCGACTGCATCACCGTGTGCGTGGCCGCCAAGCTCGGTCCCGCCGGTTTCACTGCTGATACTCAGGAAGCCTTCCAGAAGTTCCTGGCTGTAGTTGTGTCCGCTCTCGGCAGACAGTACCACTAGAGCATCACTCGACAGCATCAATATGGAAGAGAGATGACACTCCAACTCCAGTCTGTTAGGCTGGAAGCTGTGCCATAGCTACACATATTGAAAATAATAAAATCAATTTAAAAGCATTTATGTTTTTGAAGTGTTGTTTTTCGATGGAAAATGCTCACCTGCAATTTTACTGATGGCAAATGGTTTCTAGTTAGGCCTTCAGAGGTTTCAAATAAGCGATGCACATGTATAGGCCTAGCCTACACATCATCAAATTTGAAAAATAAATTATTTCCTAAAGCGTGGAAAGATGATCAAATGTTTTACATTTAGCAGATGCTCTTATCCAGAGAGACTTACAGGTGCAATTAAAGTTAAGTGCCTTGCTCAAGGGCACATACGACCTTTCGGTTACTGGGCCAACACTCTTAACCGCTAGGCTACCTGCCGACCATCACATAATGTTTGCTAATTGATAACTACAGTATATTTAGATATTTATTTTATTTGCTTTAGATATGTAAATATGTATTTCCTTAGAATGACTGCAATCCACTGTCAACAAATGCTTTAAAAAATGTTGGACCTAAAAACCCATTCAAGTCAATCTTTTTAGCAACATTTTAAATGTCATACCCCATTAATGTAAAATTATTTTAAACACATTGAGTAGCCTAACACAATTCATTTAAAATATGATTTGGGAGTGTTGCCCTCACCGTCACCGGAGTTATCCACAGCAATGTGACAGACCACGCCATCTTGCAAAATGAGGGCAACTGATGCATGGATTTATTCAAACAAATCCGGTGACGGTGAGTAAAATACAAAATAGTGCTGCAAGAATTATTGCTGCCTCCGTAGTGGCGCAGCGGTCTAAGGCACTGCATCGCAGTGCTAGAGGTCACTACAGATCATGGTTCGATGTTTCTGGGGACGCATGGCTCTCGACCTTCGCCTCTCTCGAGTCCGTACTGAGTTGCAGCGATGGGACAAGACTGTAACTACCAACTGGATATCACGGAATTGGGGAGAATAAAGGGGTAAAACGTTTTTAAAATAAAAAAAGATTTATTGCATAAATTCAGGTAATCCCATCAAACCTGTGCAAAACTGCATATGGATTGAAACTCTCATGATAAATCTTTTGTCTCTCAAGTTATGCATGCGTGCGTAAATCTGCGCGTAAAACCAAGCCTGTGCGTAAAACCAATCAGGAACAAGCCGCACAAGAAAAGCCCGAGAGACCATCCCACTAGTACTAATTTTCTCCTTTCACCCTTCTGATAACCAGGTGGTGAATCGCATCTCTGCATGTCTGGTAGACATATCAGTGTGGATGTCGGATTACCACCTCAAACTGAACCTCGGCAAGACGGAGCTGCTCTTCCTCCCGGGGAAGGACTGCCCGCTCCATGATCTCGCCATCACGGTTGACAACTCCATTGTGTCCTCCTCCCAGAGTGGAAAGAACCTTGGCGTGACCCTGGACAACACCCTGTCGTTCTCTGCTAACATCAAAGCGGTGACCCGATCCTGCAGGTTCATGCTCTACAACATTTGCAGAGTACGACCCTACCTGACACAGAAAGCGGCACAGGTCCTAATCCAGGCACTTGTCATCTCCCGTCTGGATTACTGCAACTCGCTGTTGGCTGAGCTGCCTGTGCCATTAAACCCCTACAACTTATCCAGAACGCTGCAGCCCGTCTGGTGTTCAACCTTCCCATGTTCTCTCATGTCACCCCGCTCCTCCGCACACTCGGCTTCCAGTTGAAGCTCGCATCTACTTCAAAACCATGGTGCTTGCCTACGGAGCTGTGAGGGGAACGGCACCTCCTTACCTTAAGGCTCTGATCCTACACCCAAACAAGGGCACTACGTTCATCCACCTCTGGCCTGCTAGCCCCCCTACCTCTACGGAAGCACAGTTCCCGCTCAGCCCAGTCAAAGCTATTCGCTGTTCTGGCACCCCAATGGTGGAACAAGCTCCCCCACGACGCCAGGACAGCGGAGTCACTGACCACCTTCCGGAGACACTTGAAACCCTACCTCTTTAAGGAATACCTGGGATAGTATAACAGTAATCCTTCTACCCCCCCACTATAAAAAAAAAAGGGGGTGGTTGTCCCACTGGCTATCCTAAATTGAATGCACCGATTTGTAAGTCGCTCTGGATAAGAGCGTCTGCTAAATGACTTAAATGTAAATCTAAATGTACAAGCCTACATCTCACCAAATTTCACTTCACATAAAGTGAAAACAATACACATTTGTAGGAAATAATAAAACCTTTTAACTTACAGACATATATCTGCAGAGATGGGCAAAGATACTTTAATAAAATGTATATTACAATGGCGCTGGAGGGGATGGCTTCTGTTTTATGGGCTCTTAACCAACTGCGCTATTTTGTTTGTTTTTTCGCATTGTTTGTAACTTATTTTGTACATAATGTTGCTGCTACCGTCTCTTATGACCGATAAGAGCTTCTGGACTTCAGAACAGTGATTCTCATCGACGGGGCTGAAGTGTAGCAGGTTGAGAGCTTCAAGTTCCTTGGTGTCCACATCACCAACAAACCAACATGGTCCAAGCACACCAAGACAGTCGTAAAGAGGGCACGACAAAACCTATTCCCCCTAAGGAGACTGAAAAGATTTGGCATGGGTCCTCAGATCCTCAAAAGGTTCTACAGCTGCACCATCGAGAGCGTCCTGACTGGTTGCATCACTGCCTGGTATGGCAACTGCTCGGCCTCCGACCGCAAGGCACTACAGAGGGTAGTGCATACGGCCCAGTACATCACTGGGGCCAAGCTTCCTGCCATCCAGGACCTCTATACCAGGCGGTGTCAGAGGAAGGCCCTAAAAATTGGCAAAGATTCCAGCCACCCTAGTCATAGACTATTCTCTCTGCTACTGCACGGCAAGCGGTACCGGAGTGCCAAGTCTAGGTCCAAGAGGCTTCTAAATAGCTTCTACCCCCAAGCCATAAGACTCCTGAACATCTAATCAAATGGCTACCCAGACTCCAGGAGGATCCTTTAGGGGTTCTTCAAATTGAAACTGTGGGGGAACCCCTATAAGTTATTCGAAGAACCCCTTTCAATGGATCCTCAAATAACCATTTGAAGAACCTTTTGGGGTAAATGTTTGAACTACCCCCCCTCCCCTATTATTATTATTATTATTAATAATAATACGCATAACAATAACAACAATAACACAATATTTTAGTTGTCAGTGTTCATTATGATTTTAGTGGGAAAGCAGAATAAAATAATCCAAACATGAGGTAAACTCCCAACAGAGCCCCAAGTCCAATGGGTATATCCTCTGGCATGTTGATGTTAATGTATTGATGTTCTCCGTATACATAGCCAATAATGATTTTGCAGTGCATGGTGATCGAACAGCTTTCCTGTTATATTAATCAGAGGTGTAGGGAGGGTGAAGTCTGTGAATCCAAAAAATTGTAATTATACAGATGTTTAACAAAACATGCACACAACAGTATTCATACCTTGGATTTTGTGGTAAATGTGAATGAAAAAAAAAACCGTTTTGATAATGGTTTTCATACACATACCTTGTCCATAATGTAGAGGCCTATGGGATTTTCATTGAAGAGGTAAGGGAGGAGGATGGTACATGTGATCTGCATAACATACTAATACCAATTGACATACGTCTGTATACCTGCAGACACAGACACAAAAGTGAGCAGTTCATTAATCTGCACCCAATACAGCTAGCCTTCAACATAATCTTATAGCATACATATTCTCATCGCTTTGTTGATTGATATCCATTGAATTGGGTCCATTTTCTGTTTTGGAAAGATTTGCACAAATATGAAAAGATAGATGGTATCATCATAAAACAATATCAATTTACATCATACAAGGGACAGCCCTTACCTAAAATTTAGGAGATCTTAAAATGTTTCGTTACCTGCCTGAACCTGCTGTCCTTCAAATCCAAATATTTCAGTTGGGCAGTTAGGTTCCTGCAAGAACCCCCACCAACTAATGAGGTTCCTCGATGAACCCCACCTCCTATGGGGTTCTTGGAATAACCTTTTGGGGGCAATTTTCAGTGCCAAGAACCTTAAAGTTCTTCTAAGAACTTTGAGGATCTTAAAAGAACCCTTGTTGAACCCCTAATTTTTAGAGTGTATATAGCCTCGCTATTGTTATTTTACTGCTGCGCTTTAATTATTTGTTACTTTTATTTCTTATTTTTTTAAGTATTCTTTCTTAAAACTGCATTGTTGGTTAAGGGCTTGTAAGTAAGCATTTCACTGTAAGGTCTACACCTGTTGTATTTGAATAAAAAATACCCTAAATACCATGTATCAAAGATAAACTACAAAATGCCAGTGTCAAAAATACATTTAATTACTCAAATTGTATTTAGTTAATCGAAAAACAGAAAATACATTTGTAAACTAAAATTAGTTAGGCTATTAAGCAACCAGTGACCCTTAGTTAACACGCTATAAACAGTACCAATAGACCAGACAATTGGCACAGTTCATAGTGTAAGTCTGCAAAGCTTTGTGGCCCTCTAATACTCCAAATTTGCTGCGTTGGTGTCAGAAAGGAGATATCTTACCATGAGCTTGACGTAATCAGAGTTGCCAGTGAGGCTCAAAGTGGTTTGAAAGAAAGTCAAGGCACGCTCTAAAAAATGCTCGGTTAAAAACAACCCAAATTAGGATACTCAAAAGTATCATAATTTAAATATTTAAAATTCATGTGAAATAAATAGTATCCATCTCCAAGTTTTTATTGTGCCTATACTGTCTCTAGTAGTATAGCCCATTCAGCAACTACTCCACATTCATCAAAATAAATGTTACACGTATTAGATAGGCTATCCACAGTTATGGGAAACAACATGGTGGGCCTAAAGCACTCTATTTTTATAAGGCATTCGTTCCTTTGTCATTCAATTTTTTATAATGTGGGAATCTAATGTATTTAGCCTGTTGTAGTGCTGACATTCAAATATGACATTGATGGTGAAATGTGGTGGAATAAGGACACAAACACAGAACATAACTTAATTAATTGCCCGTTTATTTTATTGTGATAACAACAGACCAGGAACTGAACTCCAATGTTGGACTTTCATGATGGTCTTATCTGTATTTGTCAGCCAGGGCAGCGGACAAGGCTGCAAGGAATTTATCCACAGCAATGTGCACTTCGGGAGTGAAATCCGCAGGGAAGTGAACAGCCAGGGTCACAAGTATGTTGTGGGACAGAATCTGAAAGGTAGATTTTAAAAGTTAATATTGACGGATTAAGGCAGCAACAGACTTAGAGTTGAAGTCGAGTGTGATCAATATAAAGATAATAAGTTATCTGGGTGCAAACCTTGAAATTGCCAGGGTCAACGCGCATCTTGAATGCGTGCAAATCGCTGAGAGCACTCAGTCCACCGACGAGGTCGTCGATCATTCCAACAGCATTACCAATTGCACCCATGATGGTGCTTCCATGCTTCTTGACTGGGGCAGAGCCGGGGCTCAGGTCTGCCCAGTGGGAGAAGTAGGTCTTAGTCTGGGGGTAGGCGGTTAGCATCCTGCAAAATAGTTTGTATACCATTTTAGGCGTATTTAGATGCATTAACTTTTAAGCATTACGCGTATCTTACTCCTCACGTCGTCTGTCTACAACGTAATCAAATTAGTTGACTTATTGTATGTTAAAATGCTTGGTCAGGGCAGGCAATATACCGCTGTCAATAGTTTAAACACAACCATTCTCATAATTCTTTTTTGAAGAAGGCTTACCTTCCCAAAGCCTCAGCGCCGACGACATCTGCCTTTCCACTAACCTTGCCCCAGAAGGCCTTGACCAGAGTTTTGTCCTTGGCTGTCAGACTCATTTTGCTCCTTTTTGATTTACCTGTATTAAATCTACAACAAATGAACTTAAGAAGATGACTGCCTATACAACTAGGTGCCTTTATATTACCGTAGAGCGGCAGACACGCCCAGCTACTAGGGTACACTCCCCCTCCACTGCAACCATCTTGGTAAAAATCCAACGTTATCTTGGCCTTTATCAAATTTTAAGTTAGAAGTTCTATATTAGGCTCTTCCATAAGATGTCAGAGGGCTATGTTTGTAGTAATATACATCATTAACGTTTTAGCTTATGTTTTCGTCCTATGACAGTACTGTGAAACAATGTATGGAAATAAATTGTACCAGAGATGTCAACAATTTTACAATTTGTTTGATTGATAAAGATAATAATAATACATCATAATAATTATTATTATTTATTTCGTTGAATAGAACGAAATATTTCTGTATAATCGATCATATATTTCCAATAGGCTAATTCTGAAGTTGCAGCTGCTTTTGCCAAAATAGGAAAATATTTCATTGATAGTTAATTATATTATTAATATTATTATTAATTTGCTATTTAACATTACGATTCACCTAGAAATTAATTCCACCTTCAAAGACCTGCAGTCAATTGGAAAATATTTATTCAAGGTGACATACTTGACATTTGTTCAATTAAAGTTTGATATGATCCCCAATTAAAAGGTTGATTGGACTTCGAATGATGATCGGAAAAAAGGTCAGAGGACATGCGAGGACATGGGTACACACCTATCTGCAAATAATACAGGACATTCCTGCTTATCATATTTAATGTCTTGAAATCAATTACTTAAAATGGGCGGGACCGGTCTGAATACCCCGATAAAAAAGAAAGGCATAATATTCTAGTAGATAAGAAACGGTGCCAAATTGTAAACCAAATTCATAAAAAATTAAATAAAGTGACTGCATCCCTTACATTTTTTTTTTTTTTTGAATAGCCTTGTACACTGCAATGAAGACATTTTGAATAGTTTTGCCATAATCTTGCTTTTATTCTTGCATCAGCTGGATCAAGAAAACTGTTTAGCTTGTGATCATACGAATTTTGAAACGTTGGTAATCTAGATATTTACATATGATTTCAGGATCTAACCTTCATAATTGATTCTGTAACAACTAATACATTATAATTTACTGTCGTTTTTAACAGATACATGATTGATTGGATTTTGTTCAAGAGCTGAAGCGCTTATTAAACACTTGGCCAATACTGATCTTTGCCAGAGCCAATCACATGTGCCGCCTCCAGTGGGCGGAGAGCACTCATAAATATAAGTTGCATACAAAGTGTCTCCCTACACAATACATTAATTTGTTTTATCTTGTTGCAAAACCGGAGAACAAACACCGACATGGTTGACTGGACAGACGCCGAGAAGAGCACCATCAGTGCTGTGTGGGGCAAAGTAGATATCAATGAACTCGGACCACTGGCTCTGGGAAGGTAGGCCATGGCTTCAGCTTCATTCAAATACATAGTAAAATGTATCTTATAGTGAAGATGATTATGCGTAATTATAACACTATTATACGTGTTCTATTATCTTATCACTACTATTCATATTGATAATAGTTGATTGGCCTATTTTTAAGTTTGAATTGAGCATGTTAGAGTATTAATTAGGTATTTCAATAGCATTTGATAATAATGCACATATGTCTGTGTTCTTGCAATGACAGAGTTCTGATCGTCTACCCCTGGACTCAGCGTTATTTCGGCTCTTTCGGAGATATATCCACTCCCGCTGCAATCATGGGCAACCCCAAAGTTGCTGCTCACGGCAAGGTCGTGTGTGGAGCTCTGGATAAAGCTGTGAAGAACATGGGCAACATCTTGGCCACATACAAGTCACTGAGCGAGACCCATGCCAACAAACTCTTCGTCGACCCTGACAATTTCAGGGTAGGCCTTTTGTCTTGCGCAATGTTTTAGGCACTGATATTCACGTGTAACATTCAGAATAATGCGTCTAATTCCAAATGTAAAACAAAAACGGCAGTCTTATTTAACATCTTCCTTCTTTGTTTATTGTCCACAGGTGTTGGCTGACGTCCTCACAATTGTCATTGCCGCCAAGTTCGGAGCCTCTTTCACTCCTGAAATCCAGGCAACCTGGCAGAAGTTCATGAAAGTGGTTGTCGCAGCCATGGGCAGTCGGTACTTCTAAATACAAGTGATTGTGTTCTGACATTCCTGCCTGAGTGAAAATAAAGACATCGAAACAAGCTGTTGTATTTGTTCAAACAAAATGATGGTTAGGATTGGGGGGTTAGCAATTTTGGGGGAAAGTTCCACCACAAAATCCATAACATCAATATTTAGGCTATATAGAGAAGGGCATTGACCGATGGGGAAAGGATGGTTTAGGGTCATGGAATATTGTGTGAATAAAGGGCGGGTGGGTGGCGGGCAGGTTGAATAAAGAGAAAACAATCCATTTAAAAAATATCCATAAATGTATAATTCTTGAGCAATTTATAACTATAGGCTACATTAAGGTTTTTCTTTCATTATTTTAGGCTATCTGGCATTAGTGCGTAAAAAGCTCTGCATGGTCAATTTGTACAGTGGCCGTACAGCATTTACTGCCATGCAGCCTCCGCAGACGTCAGGGCTTTCATACTTCTTGGCTTAGCGGAGCAGAGCTGCTGTGAAGGAAGTTATCAAGGAAGTGAGTTTGTGTTTATACTGGACCTCCCGCCCCCACCTACCGTCAACCAATCATGTCAATGCGGAGCTATACGGAGCCCTCTGCATTGTGAGTCGAGAGATAAGAAAATGGTTGAGCAGAGGGGTCCCGCGAGAGCACAGGCCAGTCAAGAGCGCAAATTAAACTTGAGAGATCAAAAAGAAAAATGTATTAAACACTACATATAGAACTGTAAGCAAAGAAACGTGATTCAAACGTGTAAAAAAAAAGGTTTTGAGCGCATTAAATTGTGCACCAGCAATAGTCACTTGTCATTTGCTCTCAATTTCTCAAATTGCTCTCTCTCAAGTTTTGGCACCTTTGGGTTTACTGCAGTGATGGAGGAACTAACAAATTCCTGCCATTGGCCAGTCTAGTGTTGTGATTGGTTATTATGGACCTTCTGTTTGTGATGCACTGCAGACAGTGTTGCCATGTTTTCAGTTTTCCAGAAAAATTGGGCTACTTTGGGTTTTTGGGCCATGGCATTTCTCTTAATTAAAAAACTATATATATTTCACTGTGACCTGCTGCTGCTGACTATCAGGCTGTTACTGAGTGAGTGAGTGAATGGTGGAGGGCATAGGCCCACCAACTTGGCAGCCAGAATGAGTTTTTCCCCACAAAAGGCGCTTGCAACGCCAGGGTTGTGGGTTCGATTCCCACGGGGGGCCAGTATGAAAAATGTATGCACTCACTAACTGTAAGTCACTCTGGATAAGAGCGTCTGCTAAATGACTAAAATGTAAATGTAATTTTTTTTTATTGTTTCAACTGCTTTCAGAAACACATAAATGAGCATACAAGTATGTTTAAGCATACATGACTGTTGGGAGTGCGGTGCCATAATTTAGCTCTCAGGTGCAGCAGAGCTGACACACTAAAGATGAAGTTGCGGGAAATGTCTTGACCACCCTCTGGCTGTTCTCCAGACAGCAGTAGCACTAGAAGGTGTCCCAGGCACTGTTTGTGGCCACATCACCTCCCTCAGAACCAGTGAAGATCTCCAGGTTTTTACAGTCGGGCATCAGCATAATTATAGAGGGCAGAACAATACAGGAGATCTGATTAGATTTAGTATGGAGTCGAAGTCCCAAATTAAAATCCTTGTACAATCCATAGACATTGGTAAAATGGTAAACAAAAGTATGGCACTGGAGTTTGAGGAAGGTGGAGCGATACATACACAACATTACCAAAAGTATGTGGACACCTGCTCGTCGAACATCTCATTCCAAAATCATGGGTATTAATGGAGTTGGTCCCCCCCCCCCCTTGCTGCTATAACAGCCTCCGCTCTTCTGGGAAGTCTTTCCACTAGATGTTGCAACATCGCTGCGGGGACTTGCTTCCATTCAGCTACAAGAGCATTAGTGAGGTCGGGCACTGGTGTTGGGCAATTAGGCCTGGCTCGCAGTTGGCGTTCCAATTCATCCCAAAGGTGTTTGATGGGGTTGAGGTCAGGGCTCTGTGCAGGCCAGTCAAGTTCTTCAACAACAATCTCGACAAACAATTTCTGTATGGACCTCGCTTTGTGCACGGGGGCACTGTCATGCTGAAACAGGAAAGGGCCTTCCCTAAACTTTAGAAGCACAGAATCGTCTAGACTGTAATTGTATGCAGTAGCATTAAGATTTTCCTTCACTGGAACTAAGGGGCCTAGCCCGAACCATGAAAAACAGCCCCAGACCATTGTTCCCCCACCACCAAACTTTACAGTTGGCACCATGCATTGGGGCAGCTGGCGTTCTCCTGGCATCCGTCAAACCCAGATTCGTCCAGAAAACGCGTTTCCACTGCTCCAGAGTCCAATGGCGGCGAGCTTTACACCACTCCAGCCGACGCTTGGCATTGCGCATGGTGATCTTAGGCTTGTGTGCAGCTGCTCAGCCATGGAAACCCATTTCATGAAGCTCCTGACGAACAGTTCTTGTGCTGACGTTGCTTCCAGAGGCAGTTTGGAACTCGGAGTGAGTATTGCAACCGAGGACAAACAATTTTTACGCGATACACGCTTCAGCACTCGGCGGTCCCGTTCTGTGTGCTTGTGAGCCTTTGTTGCTCCTAGACGTTTCCACTTCACAATAACAACACTTACAGTTGACCGGGGCAGCTCTGGTAGGGCAGAAATTTGGTTCAAACTTGAGGACCTCTGCCTCATTGGTGTAGTGGTCCAGGGCGATGAAGTAGACGCCTGACTCCACCTGATCAAATGTGTTCTCTCTACACACATTGACCTGTCTCCTGAGAACTGGATTGAGAGAGAGAGGAAAATAAGATGCCAGGAAAGTTCAATTGGAGTTTAAATGTTTTAACATCTTAATCGGGTAGCAGTCCATTTTAAGACTGCTGTATCAAACAAACCATACAACTCTATGTACAAGGACTACTTTTAACAATTTGTTATCATTGGTTTGTTTGACATACATTTTAAAGTTCAGCATCACCCCCTTACAT